CTCGTCTCCTCTGGTAAGGGGTTACATTGTAACCTAACTCCATCCGCCATCATTGACTTCACAGTGCCCTCTGTCTGATGGCAGGGCTGTTCCGGTTCCTGGATTCACCAGAGGCTTAATCCCTGTGGAGACCCTGCAAATGGATGCTGGGTTTCCACCCTTGTCTGTAGCCTTCAGTTTAGACAATATTCTTGCCAGTGCTAGAGCAGGAGACCCCTGGAGGAGATCACCCAGTGATGATACAAGTGGTCTTCCACCCCCACCCACCCCAGAGCAGCAGACGTGCTCTCTCTCCTTCAAAGCCCAGTCCCACGGAAAAGCATAGATCGTTGTCCTCTCTTAAAGATTCCTACGGAACTGCCCTGGTCACCTTCTGCAGGGATCACATCTCTCTACCTATGCTGATACCATTCCAAGTTGCTTGACCCAGGAGTATTGGCAGACTCACCACCCACGGCAGCAGGTCCGGGCTAAGCGGGGAACTTGGGACACTGCTGAGTTGGGCTTCAGTCTCAGATGACAGCCTCTCAGTAGGAGAACAGGCACTGTCTAATTTCATGAGACATATGGTTTAAATATTTCAGAGCCTTGAGTCATTCCACAATTGACTCAGCTGTGTTTCTGATGCTGTCTGATGCAGCCTGTAGAGCCCTGCGGTGGCCCCTCACAGTCGTGACTCATGAGCACGGGAGAGGTGTTGGTCAAAGCTACCCTAGGAAGCACATGAAACTGACACCTGTAGGGGCTTGTCCTGCAGGACACTCTACCTAAATCTCGAAGCTCCTGCAACAGCCCAGCTCCTGGCAAGCAACTAGTCGTGACGGTTTAAGTCCTAAACTGCCCCCGAGTTCCCTTAATCCCTGGCTTTCTTTTGTGAGAATACTGGGTGAAAGTAGAAAGACTTTGGGCATCAGAGAATAGAGCCATCCTGTATGTGGGTGCATTCACCACCCCCCAGGGTCATGTAAAGAGAAAGGAAAATGGTTCCAAACTACGAATAGCCTAAAGGACTTCTGGTGATCAAGAGGTACAGTTCATTGGCTCTGATTGGCCAAGGAAGGCTGGCTAGATGGGCAGGGCATTTCAGAGAATCGGGCTCCCTGGATTCTCATTGGGAAGTGGCCTTCGCTGCTACAAGTCATCCAGGCTGTTCCACCCAAAACGGTGCTGTACATGCACAGTCAAAAGAAACCCTTTGTGGCTCTGTGCCTCTTCACAGCCGTTGCTGCATTTGAACTCATTGTTGCAGCCACTGCGTCAACCCATCCTGTTTGGGACTTCATTCTTTTGGGATGACCCTCTGCTTTACTAAGAATGATGTGCTTTTCCAAGGACTCGTACCTCCTGATCATAACAGGTCTTCAAGTGAGTGAGTCTCTCCAGTCTCATGTCTAAGGAGCACCATTCCAAAATATTTCAGAAAACCAGACCAGAAGCGACTTGAAGCTGTGGTAGAAATAGCTAGTGGGGCCTGGCATAAGAACCTGTGGCTTTTTCACAGTGATCACCAGGGTCAATTTGCTATTGTGCAACAATTTTCTTTTTTTCCATTTTTTTCTTTGGGTTATTTTTTTTTCCTTAATTGAGCTTGCATTTCTAAGCATTAGCTGTAAAAAGACAGGCAGCAAGGATATGGAAGATTGACCTTAATCATAGCCATGAAGAAGTTATCACTGCTTGATTTATTGTATTTGCTTTCTCT